ATTGATCATTGTTTCGATTTCTCCTTAATAAATAAAGGGGATTGATATTAGCGTTTTGGTTAATATTCTGATTGACATTATTTTCGACCCTTGTTTGTCGAGGTATCGCCAATGCATCCCCGATACGTGACATTTGGTCTGCTAATATCTCAAAACTAGTGGTAGTATTTTGAACTAATGGGTTTAGTACTGTAGTCAACTGTTGTGATAACATGTTAACCATCTCGAAATTGCTTTCGTCCATTTGCTGTCGAAGTACTCCTAATGAATTACTGGAAATTCCAGTACTAGCGTTTTCGATAGTCTCAAAATTGGATCGATGATAATCTCTATCGAATGTATATCTCCCGTGATCCAGGTTTGCTCTGTGATCCAGGTTTGATATTGGAGGCGTCTGTTGTGTTCCTAAATTCTGCACATTCCCTGAATTCTGGGGTGTTACTAAATTTTGAGATACCCCTAAATTTGGGGATACTCCAAAATTTTGAGGCATGCCTAAGGTTTGAAATGTTCCTAAGCTTTGGGGCATTCCTAGGTTAAATCTCGTACTTCGTTGTATTGAAGAAGTACCAGCCCCATTCATATTATTAATCGAAAAGTCAGGCGGTCTTACACTCATATGCGGACCTGCATATGTTGTTACGGGATTCCCCATAGTTTGTATATTGTTTGACATTACAGTGCTAGACCCTAACCGAGTGTTTACCGATGTGCCTGAGCTTTGTTCAGCACTCACAGGTATCGACGTACTCATAGTTGTCGATATTACGGGCATATTCCCATTGTGAACTTGCCCCCCAGTGTTTGGTAAATGTGAACTATTTGGAATCTCATTGTTATTCTGATTATGTGGTGGATTTTGACTCATTCTTAATACTCGCCCACTCCTTAATCTCATACACTTTCGAACTAACCAATTGTTTGTGTTTTTTGACACAACACTCCCTACCTAGTGTGCCAATTTGTTTCTGGTGAAAATTTGAACGATTTCGATTTCTCGGAAATTTAAGTTCTAATCAAATTTCGACCATGTAGATTCTTCTTATTTAGGCTAGCAAACTATTTTCAATCGAAACATGCATGAGAATCAAAAATATCATAATGTCAATACCACAGTGTCGAGAAATGTTAACAATGCAATATATCATTTCAGATTGGCAATCGAAAGCACTATTTTTGGTGTTTTCTACTAAGAAACGCGAAGTAAAGAAAGCAGTAAAAGTGTCGAATCGAAAAGCAGTGCAGAATATTAAATTGCAGAGAAATGTAAGATACGTAAACCTCAAATTTGCATTAAGTGTAAATGGCAAGGAATCGAAATTGCAGAAATGTAAATAACAGGAAATCGAAATTGCAGAAATGTAAATGGCGAGGATCTTAAACGCATAACCTTAACTTGCATAAAAGTAAATTTTGCATAAAAGTAAATGACAAGGAATTGAAAAGGCAAAAACTTAAAGTTGATAAACATAAATTGCAATGAAAGTAAATTACCAGGTGTTTCTGGTGAAAATTTGATCGATTTCGATTTATCGAGACTTAAGTTCTAATCAAATCTTAACCATGTAAATTCTTTTCATTTAGGCTAGCAACTAATTTTCAATCGAAAAATGCATGAGAATGAGAATCATATAATCTCAAGAAATGCAAACGGCATGACCTAGAGTACAGATTGATGATCGAAAGTACTATTTTTTGGTATTTTTTTATTAAGAAACGCGAAAGAAAGCAGTAAAAGCGTCGAATTGAAAAGCAGTGTAGAATATTAAATTGCAGGGAAATGTAAAATACGTAAACCTCAAATTTGCATTAAGTGTAAATGGCAAGGAATCGAAATTGCGGAAATGTAAATAACAGGAAATCGAAATTGCAGAAATGTAAATGGCGAGGATCTTAAATGCATAACCTTAACTTGCATAAAAGTAAATTTTGCATAACAGTAAATGGGCAAGGAATTGAAAAGGCAAAAACTTAAAGCTGATAAACATAAATTGCAATGAAAGTAAATTACCAGGGAAAGTAAAGAAAGCGATAAAGGTAATCAATGAAAACGGAAATCCAGAGCATTAGAAACTTCATGATGCGTCGTTTTCCTGTAGACTATTCACTTGCGCTTCTGTTGTCTCTACCAATTTCCCCTTTTTCCTCAAGTCTTCGCTCTATTTATAGAGCACCCTTCAAGTAACCTCCTAAAGCAGTTAATAAAACTGTCACCACGATCCAACGTGCACGTCCCTTAGTTCTACGGTTTTAGGAAACTGCATTTCACGTTCTCATGCATGAGAGAACTGCTCCCTTGATCTTCGATCTCTGCCTCGGTTTAGAAACCGCTTCCCATGTTCTATGTGTGTGTTAACCGTTCCTTCGATCTCGATTTCAGACATCGAGTACTCTGAATTGCTTTTGATTCCCTTTAATCTTAACTTTACACTAGATTCTAATTTATCGATTCTCTTCAACAATAGACATCGAATATTCTTCCTTTGATTCTCGATTCTGATTCTCAATTTATATGTGTTTTTATCTTGGGGTTACCAGGTGTCTTTTACTTATCTCTTATCAATTTTTTAACCAAACATATGATCTTCGATCTTCCTCTTTCTTTTTTATCGATCCTGGTATCGATTTTTCTTCACTAACACCAGGGAAAGTAAAGAAAGCGATAAAGATAATCAATGAAAACGGAAATCCAGAGCATTAGAAACTTCATGATGCTTCGTTCTCCTGCAGACTGTTCACTTGCGCTTCTGTTGTCTCTGCCAATTTCCCTTTCTCCTTCAATCTTCGCTCTATTTATAGAGCACCCTTCAGGTAATCTCCTAAGAGCAATTAACAAAATAGCCACCACGATCCAACGTGCACGTCCCTTAGTTCTACGGTTTAGAAAACTGCTTCCACGTTCCATACGCGTTTAACCGTTCCTCAATTTATAACTTAGCCATAATTTCGATAGCCATGTAGGTTAACATTTCCCTTGATCTCGATTTCAAATCTTCGAGAACTTTGAATTGTTTTTTACTCCTCTTAACCTTAACATTACACTTGATTCTAATTTCTCGATTTTCTTCAACAATAGACATCAAAGATTCTTCCTTCGATTCTCGATTCTGATTCTCAATTCTGATTCTCGATTTATATGTGTTTCTATCTTGTGGTTACCGGGTGTCTTCTAACTGTCTTTTCGATTTATCAATTTTTTAACCAACCATATGATCTTCGATTTTCTCTCTCTTGTTTTTTCGATCCTTGTATCGATTTTTTCTTTACTAACACAATGTAAAAATACAATATTTTATTTTTTAATGACTTTTGACCAAAGTTATTTAAATTTTAAACTATTTTTCACGCGAGTAATTGTCTAGTTATTGTATAAAATAACGCAGCAAGGTTCCATTTTTTTAATGATAACTAAAGTATAAGCATGTAGAACGCACACACACAAAATTCTGCAAAGCTATTTTTTTTTTAGATATTAATATTTTAAAATTTTTAATATGTATAATTTGTTGAAAAATCAACTTTATTTATTCAACAAATACAATAAAATAAGACTACATGATACATGCATCAAGATAAACTAATATATATAGGAAAAAAAATCATGTACAAATCAAAATGTTCATTCTCCCTTCAAACGAATTCATTTTAGTGGTGTTAGTTTGCACTACGTTTTTTATAAATCTCCCATAAATAAATAGACATTAATTTTTTTAGTCAATCCGACTTTGTAAAATGTCAACATAATATCATATTCGGTGTCATTTCGCATAAAAATCATACAATTGGATTATATAAATTTGATATTGATTCATCATATAAAATAACAAAACATCATAAGAAGTGTACGTGTTTATCATATAATATCAATACAGTTATCATTATGAGGAGACTAAATGAAATAGATGAAATGATTGATTACTTTGTTTTTGTTTATTTATATATTAATTAATACTTTTAATATTTTAAACTTTTTTGAAAATGCTACTTTTGTTTTATATCATAGTGATGAAGATTGTGCTTGTGCACGACGACGACTGTATTTGGAAAATGAAGAGGTTGGATTGGTTGATGATGACATATTTGGCTTTCCAGGCCAGGGATAGTTTGTGATGATAAAATATACTTAATGCTCTTTAATAATTTCCATGAAGAGAAAGTAAAAATAACACTTTTTTATAAATAAATAAATTTATAAAAGAATTAGCCCAAACTTGTTAGACAAAATCATTTATCCTTAGATCATGATTCATGACTACAAACATAGTACATTGAATATTTAAAAGAGGCACGTGCCACATGCGTATTTATTAATTTAATGTGAATATATATTTTATTAAAAAAACAAAAACAAAAAAATTATAGTTTATAAAGAGAGAGATTCTGGGGTAGTTCATTAAATTTATCATGGTAAATTCAGGGGAAATCGGGAATAATGTTATAAATCGAATTTAATCTAATCTGGTTAAGAAAAAAAAAATCTTAGGTACCTTTAGGATAATGTGAGAGAAGAGGTTGTTAAAAAATAATTGAAGAGCATGGAGTGATTTAAGGTTGGAGGAAGGAGGATGTTCCAAGTGTAATCTAGGATGCTCCTGTAACAGTATAGCATCAACGTGGGGGATGGAAGCCCCGTCAGGAGGTTGTCGACGGTGGGTGAGCCACGACTGTAGCATTCGTAGACAGCCAACGTGGCACAATCTGCCACCATAGATATGTCTCCATCACTAACCCCACCTCTGTGCACCGCTTTTCCATTCTATAAATTCATTTACACTCCTCTCACCCTCTTTGATGAGCTCGCAAAAAACCACAAGCACGAGGGGCTCGTTTTTTAACTTGTAAAGGACTACACACACTACACACCCACACTACATACACATCATGCACTTCTCCTTCTCCACCGCATTCTCTACTCTCTAGTACTCACTCTACAGAGACTCGCCCTATCCTATAATTTCTTTTCACCACTTTCTGTGTCCTAAACATAACAATCCTCAGACATGGGAAGGGCTCCTTGCTGTGAGAAAGTTGGGTTGAAGAAGGGGAGGTGGACGGCAGAGGAAGATGAAATCTTGGGAAAATACATTCAGGTCAATGGAGAAGGTTCTTGGAGGTCATTGCCTAAGAATGCAGGTAATTCATTACTTGTTTTTTTTTTCTCACTTTTACTTTACTACAAATTTTGTGCTTGTAACCAATTGGTTTATTTCTGACTTGCATTTTTCAAATTTCGGAAGGTCTATTGAGGTGTGGGAAGAGTTGCAGACTCAGATGGATTAACTATTTGAGAGCTGACCTTAAAAGAGGAAACATTTCTGCTGAAGAGGAAACCACTATCGTCAAGTTACACGCTTCTTTTGGTAACAGGTTAGTGCCAGTATATTCTACAAAATTAATTAATTAAGCCTAATTTTTTTTTCTACTATCATCTCATTCATTATACTTAAAATGGTACTGTGTTTCAAACACTTTTTAAATAATTAATGATTATTTTTTACAGTTCAAACTACCGTTACTTAACAAACACGACATTCGAGGTTAAGCACTGTAACCCCAAAAAAAAAAAATGAACTCTGTTGAGGTAGCCTCAGATGTAAAAAGGTAATCCTAAACCGATGTATTGTAAAAGAAAAATATATTGATATTTTATAAAAATTAAACTATTAAAATAAAATGCGTTTTAGGATTACCTTTTTTTTACATTGATTATTCAACCTTATGCACTAACTTTCGTATAACAAAATGTATTTTTTTTTTTTATGTACTTATTTCGAACAATTGGGGTAGACTGTGGAAGAAATGTGACTACAAAATTAATTTTATTTTGTTGAATGGAAACAAGTCATCTGCACTTAACTTAAACTTTTTGAAATGATACGAAAAAAGTTAAATAAAAATTAAAATACTAATTACATATATTGTTATAAATATTTGCAAATCAGACTTTTGTATGATATATATACGTAGTCGTATAGTATATGGTGTAGAAAGAAAGTGAAATTAATTGCTTTTTGTGATACATTCACTTTTTAAAGTATATATGTATGATTTTGTTAGATGCGTATACGGCATTAATGTTGAGGGAAATTAAAGATCTTGACAGAAGGCAAAGGCCAGTGTTTTGTTAGCTGTTTATAACATAACTTAAATGAACATATAAAGAAGTGTATGAACAAAAAATAGTAATTTTTTTAATAAAATAATTTAAATGGTTAAATCTATTAGAAATGACTTAGTGATTATTACTATAATATATTAACATGGAGTACCCAGAAACCATTCTTGGCAGAATCAAAATCATGTGAATGTCGGTGCGTTTAGGTTGAGTGCACAAAGGAACATGTTGAGAAATAATCCACATGAGTAAAACGATAAATATAGAGTTCGTATAGAATATAAGACAGTTTTCACAACCAAAAGTAAAATATAAGACAAATTTGTTGTTGACAAGGAAAAATCTCTGAAATGTTTCAATCAGACTGCTATTAACTTTTGCCCCTATCAGAATAGAAACGCCTTCCCCAATCCACAAGTCCAAATTTCTCCACACACTCTTCAAACATCTTTGCATTATCTATACTTACTACTGTTAATAAGGATTGGGTTATGTATTTTTTCATTTTCTTTTATTATTATATATTTTTTAACTATTTTCTATTATTTTATTTTAAAGTATAATTTAATTTTAATAATTATTTTGTGTTTATTTTTAAATCATATTTTTAAAATTATATATTCTAATTATTTTTGTAATAAGTTTTTTAGAATGTAATATTGAATAACTAAAAGATAGATGTGAAGGTGAAATATAACATTGAATAAGGTAAATCATGTAATATCCAAATGTTTGACTAGTCTGGAAATTGGATATTTTTTGTAAATACCATATGGGTAAAAGAAATACCATTTTTTTTTCTTCACTAGTATTATCATGATTATATATTTAATTGTTTTCCTTGTGATATTAAGTTGAGATGTTCTTTATAAAATATTTTTAGTATATCAATCCTTAAGTAATTAAATACTATTTTAGCAAGTTAAACAGTAGTTTGCAATAAAAACTAAAAAAGTAAAAAAGTATTTATTAATCCTTGTGACATATTCTTTCCATTTCTGAATGATTGGGAGAGACGGGGACGAGGGAAGAAAATGAAAACATAGGAAACGTGAGTGATTTGACAGACGTAAGATACGAAGAAGGAGAAAGAGAAAAATAAAAAGTAAAAAATTAAAGATTCTATGGCATATACCATTTAGTTTTCTATACAAATGGATTCAGAAACATATGCCTTTTACAGAACCTTATAGATTATATTGTAAAAAAAAACTCTTGAAATTATGGGAAATAGAAATGGAAGCCACTTAAAGAATAATAAAATGACAAAGTTTTTTGTTGATTATAGGTGGTCTTTGATAGCGAGTCACTTACCAGGAAGAACGGACAACGAAATAAAGAACTACTGGAATTCTCACCTCAGCAGGAAAATTTACAGTTTCCCAAGGATGGAGACGCAACCAGGAACCATGGATACACCTAAAGTAGTGTCTATTCCTCCCAAGCGAAAAGGTGGCAGAACAAGCCGTTGGGCAATGAAGAAGAACAAAACCCACACCCAAAATAGCAACAGACCCAAACACACTTTCATTGAACAGAATATTATTGACATCGCAGTTCCGACGCCACCTACTCCGTCGCTGGAGAGCGAGGGTGTGTCCAACGCCGTTACGGATTTGACGGCGGCGGCGGACGCTGACGTGGCAGAAGAGCATGGTGAGGCGAGAAGGGAGGCAGAAGTAAATGAAAAGTGTGAGAAGGAGAAGAGCGTGGAAGAAAGCGGTGATGGGGACATCTTAGGACTGTGTGAATTTGAGGACATTAATGAGGGAAGCGGGGCGTTGTGCATTAGTGACATGTTGGAAAGTTGTTTGGCGGAAACAAGTGGGGTTTGGGACATAAGTGAGGAGAGAGAGAGGAATGATGTGGTAGTGGCGGGTGGTGCTGATGCGTGTCCCAACAAAACGTCGTCGTGCGAGAGCAGCGTCAATGGCGATTCCTGCTCTTCCATGGCCCTAGGCTTGGATAAACACTGGGATTGGGAGAGCGTGGTAGAGTTCAATAACATTGCTGAGTCCCAACTCTTTTGTGATGATTGGGAACACAAAGAGAAACTCTTGACTTGGCTTTGGGAGGACGGTGATTGGGAAAGCGACACCATGAAATTGGGAGAGACAGATCCCCACACGCCAAACGACGTCATTGATTGGTTTCTCTCTTGATTAATCCAATACTGTTAAAATAGACATAGTGTGGTGAGTCTGTATTTTTTTTTTTTAATATAGGTAATTTAGTTATTTTATTTATTAAAATGTTTGAATGTGTTGTTAATTTTTTTAATTTAAATATGAATATTGAAATTGATGTCAATTTTGAATTACTGTTATATATGTTTTGACTCTGTTATCTTAGATATTTAGTTGGAATATCAATCCTGACGTGGTTAGGTGATTGGTTATAGTTATGTGACAGATTTATCATATCACATTAAAATTATAGAATAAAAGGAATAGGGTTGTGGATGTGGTTCTGCAATGACAAGGGAAGTGAAAGTTCCATTTGTGAGGACAGTGGGTGTTTAGGGTTTCAATAGCCGTCGTGTGTGAGATTGATTACGATGAGGGAGGAGGAGGTTGGTTCCATTTAGGGTTTGTGACGACGACATTGAGGGAGTGAGTTGTTTCCGACATCAAAGGAAGGAGACTTGCGACGACAGCGAAGTCGAGCACACGGGAGGGACTATCTGCGACCCATTGCGACGATGAAGAAATGACGGTGACGAGAGAAGAGCGGTGATAAGCGACCATCTTCGATGAGATGCAGATTCTCACACTTTCCATAACTCATTTGCAAAAATTCTCAATTGTTCATATCATAAACACATATGTGACGTCTATTCATTTCTTTCTACAATTTTAATATGACATGGCAAATCTGTCACATAACTATAATCAATCGTCTAACCACATTAGAACTAATACTTCAACTAAGTATCTAATATAACAAAGTCAAAACATAAATAACTGTAATACAAAATTGACATCAATTTCAATATTTATGTCTAAATTAAAATTTCTACTACCACATTAAAAATTTTAATAAATAAAAGAACTAAATTACCTATTTAACTTTTATTATTATTATTTATTTCTCCCTTAAAAATTTCATTATTATCTTCTTTCTGCGTCTTAGACATTTTACTATATTTTTTTTATCTCAAAATTGATATTTTGAAGACTAGTTAACTTCTAAATTTTACTCTTCTATAATCCCTAATATGCAATAAACACACCAGAGTCGTATATACACATAAAGTAACAAAACAGATATTAGTGTAAGATAGAAGAAGAAGCAAGTTATTAAGTACGGATACTTTAATATAGGTATTAATAATATTTTACTTTCATTAAATTTTTCTTAGATTACATACATTGATGTTAAGCATCTAATGATATAAAAAAATTAGTAGAAATTTATCGTAAATAATATTTTCAAAGTTAACGTTTATCATTAGACAAAAATCTATAATTAATGAAAATATTTTTTAATATAATTAATAATTTGGTTACGATATTCTTTTTAAAATTATCATTTTGACGATCACATAAGATATAGTTAGGATTGTTATAGTTATAAAATATTTTATTTTCTTAATAATTTAATTAAGTATATATTGGTATCTTATAAATAAAATATACATATTATAATTTGTTTATACATTTTAAATCATATTTCTAAGTTAGTATTGGTATAAGATGCAATATTTTTTAATTTTAAGTGGTTTTAGATCTTCAAAGTCGAAGAAATAAAGTCCGAATCATTAAGAATCAAAACAAATTCTTTTATTGTTCAATTTGAGGTTGATTTCAATGCATAAAGTCCAACTATGATATTTGGTTAAAATTAATTGAGAAGGATATTGTTGAAAAGGAAAAAAATTTCTTTTACTCATAGTAAAATAAAATTGATTGCAAAATTAGAAGATGGATATGAAGAATAGTACGTTAAAAATAAAAATGTGAGAAGATGTTTACTTATGATCATGACTCTAAATATTATGAAGCCTTATATATATTTGTCCATTACAGTTGATATTTAGAAAGTTATGTCAAAAGAATTTTATAATGATAATGATGAGACATAAGTGTTTGTATTAAATAAAAAAATCTTCACTTTCAAACAAGGTATAGAAAGTCTCCCTTAGAATATTATAGAGAACTAACAAATATATTTGAGATAAAATAGTCACGAAAGACATGAAGATATTATTGCATACTAAAAGACTAAGGGTCCACATGTTTTTTGTCAAATAGATATTGTTTTTGAACAAGTTTGTGGAGCAATTTTACGCAAGGAACCCATTTCAGATTTAAAAGAATATTATTCATTGATTTGTAGAGACATTATGAACATTTAGACAAAGCAAATAATTGGTTATAATAACAGAAGAGATATAATGAGTCCCAATATGTTTTAACCTTGGATAGCTCTACCGAGGAAAATAAAAAATTGAAATATAATTATGACATTAACCGGTTATAATTCATTTGGGTATTTGAAAAAAAAATTCTAATTTATTTAAAAATTATGATATTTTTAATTTTTATTGTAATGTTTGTTGACTTATAAAGAATAATAAAATTTTGTTTCTATTAGTTTTAAATAAAATACATTATAATATGTGTTGTTGATTTATTAATTTTATTGATGATTATACAAGAACAACTTAGTTATATTTAATAAAATCTAAAAATGAGATATGTTTATTATTTTAAAAAATTCATAAAATGATAAGAATTTAATATAATACACTAATTGAGGTTTTAAATAGTAATAATGGTGGAGAATATCTAAATCTTAAACTTTAATAATATTTTAAAGTTAATGAAATTATTAATTGAATTATTTATAATAATACACCTTAATAGAATAGAGTTCTATATTTATTATAAATTATTTGTGTTTAGTACAAATGTCATTGTGTTATATGATTAAAATTCTTACTTCAACCCCGTATTTATTTAATTGAGTTCTCTCAATTAATATTGAGTTTAACACATATTTTCAAACTCTCCATAATTTAATTATTTCTCTAATTATAACAGTAAAAAAAATCATACCATAGATGTATAATTAAAACACATATGATAATTCAAAATATAAATTTCCAATGCACTACATATTTTAAGGCTTAATACATGAAACTAATTACAACTCATATTTTATTCCTAACTTGAGACCTACTCTTGTTAAAGCTTACCATTTTTATGGTTTGCTCTTGTGTAAACACACAATTATCATAGTTTAAAACAAAAAAAATAAAACATTCAAGATAAGATATCAATTTAAAATGACATATAGTTCAAATGATTAATAAAACACATTCATAGTATTTATCATCATTTAATGCAAATTCATATATTTATACATCACTTCACATCTATACATGTGACATAATAATAAGATTTAGAGATTTGCCCATGTTATACCACAACTTCTCCCAAGTGTTGAACACTAAGGTACTCATAATGATATATGAAGTGTTGAATACTGGGTACTCATAATGATATATACATTCTCATGTGATCAAGGTGAATTCTTATGATTTATTTAATCCATATCTAAATATACTGATATCTAGGTCATAAAAATCTCATTTAACTCTCACCACTTGATCTCCTTATCTGTGTTATTCTAGTGATCTCTTGATATTTCTCACATTACAATACAATACTTTTCAAAGCACATAATAATATTCAACATACAACATTTCACATTCATAATTCGATGTTATATATATATATATATATATATATATATATATATATATATATATATATATATATATATATATATATATATATATACCTAATACATCAAAAGAATTGCATTATATTTCCAATTTTCATCAATACATCACATGGTATTTCTCTAATTTGACCTCTGCATACTTTTTTTACCGTAACTTTCTTTGTAGATAGCCTTTTTAACTACTTTTTGTTTTATTGGATTTCTTATTTCTAGGGTTTCAGTTTGCATATATGGAACATTTAACTTGGAGTTCAAAGTTTTTTTTTATCATTTTTTAAAGTGGTTGAGTGAAGAAATAATAAGGTAAGATACATACTTTATATTTGAAGAAATAATGAGGTAATATATCATAAAAGTAATTCACCACAAAAAAAAAATGGATTTACTGATGAATAAAACTCGTTGAAAACAACAAAAATTTGTCATAAAATACACTCGAAAAAAATAAATCTGTCAAAAATTTCATTGGAAGTAAATATTACCGACAGATTGAGTAACCTGTCGTTAATTATCAACGGATAAATCCACTGAAAAATATTATAAATAATTATCAACATACATTTCCATAGGTAAAAGGTGTTTGAAGTAGTTGTTATAGACAAATATATTTATCGGTAATTATTGAAGACTTTATCTATAGGTAATTACTAATGGATCTATTCATTGAAAATTTCATTTTTTAACTACGCCAATTATTGACAAATTTTTCATCAAAAATATCCGCCTATTATATCCAAATTTCTTCTAGGTTCCATTCAATTTTTCCTATATAATAACACACATTTTATACCATAGCCAACATCAAATCCAGTTCAACTATTTCAAATCAAATTCAACTTCAATTTAACTTAAACATAATGCAAATTAACCTCATTTCAAATGACATAATTCAAACTATCTATAATAAAACTTAATGTATAAAATTAAGTATGATTATAAAGTAGAATAATGTTAAATACAATATTATTTGAAAAAACATCTAATAATCGGAATAATTAGAAAATTATTGCCCTTGTTATATATTACCTTCTTGTTCTAGGTTGTCCTGTTGTTCTTAATTGTCTTCTTATTGTTGAGGTTGTTGTTGTTAACTATCTTGTTGTTGTGTTGACATTGCTAAATGAGGGATTGTGAACTAGGAGATAGGAATTGAATGATTGCACCCATAAGTGATTGAAACTCCGAAAACTGGTACTTTAGACACTCATTATGCTCCCTTGTTTGACGAATCTCTTCTTCTTGTACAGATAATTGTTCCCACAATTGATCCATCTCTTCAAAATCAACAGACGATTTGGATGCTTAGGTCTGATGCTTGAGAGTATCAGATTCACCTTGGTAACCATGAGAAAGTTGTCCAACCCCATAATCTTCCCTTATTTTTTCCTTCAATTATGTCCACCCATCAACG